CCATAAAATCAGAAAAATACCAGGCGCCCCAGTTACAATTATGGTCTTAAGAGGGTTAAGCACTTTTGTAGCCATTCATGTCCTAAAGTCATTGCTGTAGAGCTAGCTACCTTGCTGGGCAATGTCGTGATACAGACGCTCCACCTTGGAGTTGTTTCTCAGCAGGTCCAGGCACTGGCGGTACGACTCCCACAGGAACTTCACCCAGGGCGTGAGCAGCAGGCGGTCGGTACGATCCTGGGTGTCCTCCCCGCTCACAGCGCTCAGCAGCACACTGCAACGTCAGGAAGGATGTTAGCTATCAGAAAGGTTCTTTAATTACAGCGTTTCCTTTAGGGGACCGAAGACTGATCAGCCCTGGTTTCTCCAAGTTTGGATGATCAACGATCGGTTGATAGTTACATGTGAAACTGATATTTTCTACCAACACATTGATGTTGTCTTTTCTAAGAGAACACTACATTCTACTGTTGCCAACTTTGCTAGATTTTTGCAATATTTAGTACAGAAACTAATTGGCATAAGCTAAAATCAGTCAGGCTTTTTAAATATCGGAGGTCAGTCAGAAAACTGCACTCAATGCACTCTTAATTTCTTTTAACAGTAATGACAACTACTCCTGATGATACTTTCAGGACACCAAGCTGCTGTGTGACTTGGTGCACACACCGTTGCGCTCAGTTCAACGAGTCAAATAGACGATCGACCACATAGGGACAGAAATCGCTCACAACGTGGTCTGCTGTTACAGAAAGGCTGACAAACTGAACAGCATCAACTGAGAACACCAACAATTCCTACAAGTCATGATCTTCTTTCGGGAAACGATGATTAGATCAATGATTAGATCATTTATCTTCTGGTTAAACCATAAGTTCACCTTTCTGGAGTCTGGATGTTGTCCAGGTCCTCGATATCCAGAACCATCTGCTGCGACTCCTCTTTAGCCGTCTCCGTCTTTTCCTCTGCCAGCTTCAGGTAAGCCCTGACCACATCCTCCAAAGATTTGATGTTCACCTGAGAGGAAAGACAAAGGCTTTAATTTACCACGATGAGAACAGACATCCCAGAAGTAGCCAATGTTATTGTTTCCTCCCAACCTGCTGGCAGATGTTCTTGTACTGGTAGAGACCCTCTTTAGCCAGGTGGCTCTTGCGCAGATCCACACACAGCTCCAGGTACTTGAGCATAATGGGCTCGTGGATCTTCTGCCATGTTCGATGCTTTTTACTCTTGATAACATCGTACAAAACATCCAAGGCTGGCTGCTTCTTGCCGACCTCAAGAAATTCTGTTTAAAAACAAGTCAGAGAAAATCCTTAAATAAATTTTTATTTAACCAGAACAGTAAATATAGTTCTTATTTATACTGTTGTATAGGTAATTATGGCATAAAACATCTATTTTAAACAGGTTACTGTAGAACACCAGTTATATTATGCTTCTAACCAATTGTTATGAAAATGTTGAGTAAACTTTTAAAATGTGAATTAGAGGTGTTTGGAGTAAATCAACCACACCATGCCAAGCGTAACTTTGTAGGATATCAACATAAAGCATGGCGGTAATAAACAGGAAGTAGAAACTAGCAAGTTTTGTGCTTCTGGTAAGGCACAGACCCACCACTGGATGGTAGCGTTCACTATGTCAGAACTTATTCTGCAAATGTCTTTCCATCTCTCTTCAGCCTTTTAAATAAATAATAATAAAAAAACTAAAAACCAACTCAAACTATGCAAAATTGAGGAAGATGTTTTGAATTTAGCTGTTTCTGCCAACCTTTTTGAAAGAGACTCACTATAACCTGATGTTTTTCACCAAATTGCACAATGTAACCAAATTAAGTTATACTTTCCAAGCCATTTAAAATGTGAATAGATTCATTGATGTCCTAATGGCAAAAACAGGAGAAAATTGTTTCTATTTAAAAATTTAACAGGTCAGAATTTATTACTATGATCATTTGTAAAATGAAGTAAAAAGACATTTGTTATTAATCTGAGTAAATACTTATATAATTGTGGCACTCAGTTTGGTCCAAGTTTTCAATTTTGATTGCATTTCCCCACAAAGTCTTACGTCCTCGATCTACAGGCAGAAACATCTAATTTGCCTAAAATCAAGTTTAGTAACAATCTTATCCAATATCATTAGCAGAGCTCAATCTGCAAAAAAAAAAAAAAAAAAAAAATCATAACTGATCATTTTAACGGTATCCACAAAAATTTGGAAAAACGCAGGAAACCGTTAAATACAGCTGTTTCTACCGACTGTAGCAACTAGGCCCAAATTAGAACCATGTAAACGCTAACAACGTCGGTTTGTTTTACATAAAAAGGGACACGTGCAACAAAATATTGTCAACAACGTTTTTGTTTGTCAAATAATGTTAACGCTGACATGTTTGTCAAATAATGTTAACGCTGACATAGTACGACGTTATCATTTACTAACCACTGTAACCGGTACAAATGTGGCCTAGATGTCGCTACAACTAGCTTAGCGCGCCATTCCGACTAACATTAGCAGTTAGCATCTCTGAGGTGACGCGACTGGAGTCAGCATTAAATCCAAGAGCAGCTCAAACTCACCGTTCGCTCGCTTGAGAGCGTTTTCTGGCCGCTGGAAATACGCCGGCATCTTGGTGATGTGCTAGTGCAACCCAAAAGTGACTGACTTGGTTAAAACTACAGTAATTTCACCAGTCCATCCAGGCCAAGCACTCACTCAGGGCGACGGCGCTGGCTGAAAGGATGAACCGCGTGAGCGACCGGACAGAGGTTGCCAGGTGCGAAGTACACTCCCCTTTTAGGAAAAGTCACAGACAGAGTGAAAAACGTGAATGAGCTTTTTGTTTTACCAATTGGGTTGGTTGAAATTTTTTTTTATCACTGACGCTAAATATTTAATATGTGTATGAACACATTACTCGGTTATTGGTCTTTGAAAAGAGTAACATTTCCTTTAAATTGCAGGAGCACCACCAAAAAGCATTGTAAGGGGTTGCCAGAGTGGGTAACATTAATATCCTTGAGATGGCACACCTACACCAAAAGTCATATATTAATTATCTAGTCTATTTTGTCCAATAAATGTTAGTGAATGTTATAGCTGTTTTGAAGATTGCGTCTTTTTAATACCACGCTTCCTAAAAGGGGATTTTTAACTAACCTGGCAGCGGTGGATGAACAAAGCTCCCGGATGTGCTCCCTAATAATGCGTTCAAGGTCTACTGAAAATCCCAGACACCGGCTTTGTCAGAAGAAAGAACAAGACTTTATTTATTTATTTATTTATTTATTTATTTATTTATTTATTTATTTATTTATTTATTTATGTATGTATCTATCTATCCATTTTCTATACACTTTTGTCCCTAGTGGGGTCTCGAGTAGTTAGTTAGTTAGTTAGTTAGTTAGTTAGTTAGTTAGTTAGTTAGTTAGTTAGTTAGTTAGTTAGTTAGTTAGTTAGTTAGTAGGATTAGGGTTTTCATGTGTGATTGAATTCACACAGGCATTTTTCTGTGAATTTTTGCTTTAATATGATTCAATTTTGCATACACTAAGAAAAATTATTACCACTAATACTGTTTTAAATATAACCTATATTTTCCATTTTCAGCATTAAAAGTAATCACAAAGAATATAATATAATATAATATTAAATAATATAATATAATATAATATAATATAATATAATATAATATAATATAATATAATATAATATAATATATGTTTGCAGAACAGCAGACATCGTTTTCTGTTGGTTGACACTCTATTATTCTACGGCCTTGAACGCAGCAAAAGAGCTTCCGAACGGAAAGCTGTGATTGGCTGAGAGCACCAAGGCTCCGCCCTATCAGCCGTCCAGTCCCGGAAGAGGGAAGAGGTTCTGCAAAGAGATGGAGAAAGTGTTGACAGCTGAACTGTCTCAAACCCAGTAACCAGACTTACTGTTTCCGCTTTTTTTTTTTTTTAATCTATCCAGATTCGTTTTCAAACATTTAACCATTTGAAGCACTCTGGAAGTTCTTCCGGGATAGATTTTATTCCAAAAACGAGGAGATTTCTTGTGTTTTGGCAGCAGTTTAACTTGTGTCTCCTACTGGAATGGAACATGGCAACGACTGAGACGCAGCTGATGTTGAGCGTCGGATTAATTGGTAAGTTTGTATTGATCGGGTCATTTCCTTCTGTTGGTGAAGTGTATAGTAAGTTAAACAGCTTAAGTTGGCGCTTCAGGACTTTAGGGAGATCACATGACACCAGTATGACCCAGATATGCTTCATCAGCAAGACCAGGGCGCTACGGATCCTGCAGGTTGGAGCTCAAAGCATCAATAATCTGATGGTGAAACATTCAATAACTCAGACCTCACCATGATCCATTCTTTATTTACAGTGAATTTTCTCAAACTTATCACTTAACTTCAAGTTGTTTTATTAAGATTTATTTGCTAGAAAGCAGCTCATGATTGTGTATTTTTATTTATTCATTTGTCTATTTATTTAAAAATATTGCATTTATTTAAAAATGATTGTGGAGTTGAAGAAAAAATATGATTCTTTATTAATTAAAATTTTATACAAATAAAATTTTGAAAAGTCTGACATACAAGCCCCTTTCTTCCAAATATCCCAAAAGAAAACACAAGCCAACCACTTTCAGGAGCCACACTGACCAAGGAGCACACCAGACAGGCTACGGTTAGGTTTGCATGCCAACCTGACCACACTGTAAAACATGGCAGTGGCAGCATCATTCTGAGAGGATACATTCAGCAGGGTCTGGGTCGTTGGGGAAAATGGAGGGAGAAAAGAGTAACGAGAGAAAACTTGTTAGAGAATGCACTTGAGAACTGCAGTGAAATGGTTTAGATCAAATGGCCTTCTCAAAGTCCAGACCTAAATCTGAATGTGACAAAACTTTAAACTTGGTGATCTTAGACGCTCCCCATTAAAACTGACTGAGCTTGAGCTCTTTTGGTTAGAAGAACCAACAGAAATGTCTTGATCACATGTATCCCAGTTAAGGTCCGAGGGCCACGTCTGGCCTGCATTAGATTTTTATGCGGCCCTCTAGAGTCCAGAAGGCCACATGAATAAGTTATTTTGTTAAATATTATTTTATATATCAAATCAAAGCACTTTTTATCTCTATACTGTCAAATTACATAAATTCAACTGTTTAATTAGTAGTTTTATCAACACATTCTGCTACAAACGACTCATAGAGGACATTTATCATATTGATGAGGCCCAAAATGAAACTAAGTTTGACACTCTGGGTGGAGATAACAGATCTGCAGCTGTAACAGCAGCAAAATGTGTTTGGTTTAGATAATCTGCTCCTCACTTTTGTCCAGAGTCGTTACTGAATCTTGTCTTTCATGTTTCCACCGCTAGAGAAAGACGTGAATGGAGACACGTTGTGGGTGTGGTGTTATCCCTCCGTCAGCGCTGAGCTGAGGCAGCTGCTGCTCAGGAAGTGCTGCCTGACGCAGGATGGACGGGATTTCCACACCTTCGTGTTCGGCCAGTTCAGCCGGACCTGGTACTACATCACAACGCTGGAGGTCCAGGAGCCGACGGCGCTGAACAAGGTGCTGACCCGGCTGCCTGTCTCTGGATCAGAACGCCTCTGACATAGAGCTGAATGATACGGCTTAAAAACAAAATGAGATTGTTTCCAATTTAATTGCTAAAATAGAAATTCACACTATGGAAACCCATTGATGGAAAAAAATCCAGATTTTCCACAAATTTAATCTTCAAAAACCAAAATATTCAATGAATTGATCAAATCAATTTATCACCCAGCCTAGTATAAATTATATTTCCGTGCTGATGTTTTGTCTTCTGCTTGTAGGTCACCCATTTTTCGATCGCTGTCACAGCAAAAGACTTCAACCCTGAGAAATACGCTGCTCTCAGTCGAATACTCTGCAGGTAACGACGTTTATAAAGTTCATTTCCACCGTTCCAACTCTCGCGGTTCATTCTTATCAGTGCGGCTGGTTTGTTTTTCAGGATGTACGTCAAACACGGCAGTCCGGTGAAGATGATGGAGGCTTATATCACCGTCCTGACCAAAGGAGTCTGTCAGAATGATGAAAACGGCTCGTTTCTCATCAAGGATTATGACGTCCGAAAGGCGTATCTGGCAGGTTCAATCAAAGGTAAAACCGTCCACGAGTCACCTGTCATGGTTTTCCTTCACATTAGTTATTAAACTACCACATCAGAATCATCATTATTATTGATTTATTATTGTTAAAAGTAGCAAAAATCCTTACTGGATTGGAAACACTCAGCTTAACGCATCGTTTTTTCATGCCAAATCCGATTTTTGATTTTATTGGATTTTTTTTTTTTTTAACTTTCTTTTCTAAAAATGAAATTAAAAATGACAGAAAATGTTTTTTACAAAAGGGGCTTTTACTTCAGTCATAATTTCTGTGAGTTCTGCCGTGGAGCATAAGGGCCAAGCTACAATAAATTTTATTTAATTAGTACTAAATTGTTCCAAAAGTTATCGCAATAAATTATAATATTGTTCTTTTGAGACCATTTTCACAAATATAATGATGATAATGGAATAATAATGCATCATCAGACAGACCAAAATATAAAGTTAAGTGGAAACTTTGGTATTTTAAGGACCAAAGTGACAATAATTCATATAAGAAACAACAAATAACAAAATCAGGCAAAGAAACATTTTCCAAGTCAGTTTCTATCAATAAAAATCTTTAACAAAACCTGCAGGTGTGTGTCTGTGTCTGGTCAATTTTTGGCTGACACATGTTTGTTCTTCATTCAAATTTTGCTCAAGTAAAAGTAGAAATATTTCAAAATAAAATTACTCAAATAAAAGTAAAAAGTACATCGTAGTAAAAATACAGTACATTTAAAAAAAGTTATTCAGACATAATTGAGTAAATGTAACTAGTTGCTACCAAACTCTGACTAAAGACCTAATGTCTCAGCATATTTGATGATTCTGATGAATTTGATAAAATGTTTCTTGTTTCACAGTTGGTGACTGTATGATGTTTTATGGTGTAAATCACTCTGAACTGAACCTGAACTTGTTTTTCCTTCCTCTTCTGCCTCAGATGTCGTGTCTCAGTTTGGCATGGAGACCATCATCCTGTACACCGCCCTGATGCTGAAGAAGAGGATTGTGGTCCATCATCCTCGGATCGAAGCGCTCCTGGAGTTCACCAGGTGAAACTCGGACGTTTCCTCTCGTTTTGCTGTTGGGAATGATTCTGAGTCTCCGTCCTCTTTCTGAGCAGAGTGCTGCCGGCTCTGGCCTGGCACAGGAAGGACTGGTCCGTCCTGCATCCCTACGTTCACCTGACCGCAGCTGAGCTGGACGACCTGAAGAAATGCCCCGGTGAGGCCGCCTGCTGCTCCGACCAATTAAAATCGACTTTTTTCAGCTTTACGTCATGTTATAAATTTATTCCCACATCAAAAACAAACCTGGATTGTTGCCTTGATTCTTTTATGCAGAAATCATTTAATCTCCATGGCAACCATTGAGCTGTGCTAAATACCTGTGTTGACGTAGCTCCGCCTTTCAGGCACAGCTCCTCCCCCACTCAGCTCCTTCAGACTAGCCAGCAGCTATTAGCAAACACCTGAGCTCATAATAGGAGTGAAATTCTTGTAAAAAAAAAAAGGTTGTTAAAGGGTTAATAGAGGAGCCATGTTGGGATGACTTTCTGAAGGCGGAGTTTCAGAAAGAGCAGGAGTTTCTTAAAGAGACATAGGTCTAATTTTAAAACATTTATTTTGAATCATATTTGATATGAAGTATTTTTATAACAACTGAAGGTAACATAGTTGCTTGTTTGAGCTATAAAATTGCTCTATGTGGCAGGAAAACATGTAATTCTGCTCCTTTCTACGGAAACGTCGCTGATCGATGTTTCTATGTTTCTGTTTTCTGCTCAGGTTACGTCGCCGGGTTTGTGGACCCAGAAGTGAGCAACAGGTTGGAGCTTTTTGACGTGTTTGTGAGCCTCCCAGACAGTGTGATCACCGTGTCCCAGGGCGCCAAAGGTATGTTCACTGAACAAATCAAAATACATCTTTAATTAATAAGAATGTCAACAAAGACGATATTTTCTTTAGTGATTATGGAAATAATCTGTATTAACTTGGATAATGAACTGAAACACAAATGTTTAATAGAAGAGGAATTTATTTTTTTTTTCTATTCAAAACCATGCTGGCTGTTCAGAAAGTGCTGTATCCAAATATATTAGTGGAAAGTTTAGTGGAAGGAAAACGTGTAGTGGAAGAAACAAAGATGCACAGTAAGAATCAGAACTTCCAAGTCCAACACACTCGGGGACCGGTATAGTCAAAGTATCCAAAGTTCATTGAGTTAATCCGGACCTGAACCATAGACAGAACTGTCTTATAAGGCAGAACCAGAACTGGGCCGGTGCCGGTCCAGAGTAAAGTTATTATAATTAACTAAAACAAACTAAATAACCAAAACTGAAAACATTTTCACTAACTGTAAGAAATAAAAACGGTAATTAATGGGGGATAACTACATCTAACTGGAACTATGTTGTGTGTTTATAAAACTAAAAAATACTGAAACTACAGATATATTATTCATTTTTGGAGTTATAAATCTATTTATTAGCGTTTCAAACTGATTTCCCTCCACACAAGCAGTTACTGTTGGCAAGTTTTGGCGCTCAGCAGCAAAAGTTTGGAGAAAACTCCAGAGTTTTGAAACTGTTTGAAAATTGTATCTTCTGTTGAGTATTTATTACCCTGAATATTTATTACCCTGAATATTTATTGCCCTAAAAGGTCAAAATACTTTGACCTTTTTGAATTCTGCACCTAAAACTACAACTAATACAAATTCAACTAAAACTGAACAATATTTAATCAACGATAATAATAATAATAATAAAATAGCAAATACCAACTTAGCAACTTTGTTGTTATATTTAGCAATTTTATTTAGACAAGAACAATTGGTATCGGTCAGAATTGGCTTTTTAAAGTGCAGTTGGTGCACTTCTATAAATTGGACTAAAAATCTATTTTTTTATTTGTTTAGATTTTCTGATTAATTGAATTAAAGGTTTTCATTGATACAGTGAATCTTAAGCTACAAATGTAACTCCTGTTTTTGGATTGAATGACTGAAATGTTGCGTCGCGCCTGCATGTTGCCGCAGACGCCATGGCGATGGGGAAGTTGCACAAGGACGTGGCTCAAGTCATCGTCCAGTCTGCGGAGGACGCTGAGCGATCCGACAGTCAGGTCATCAAGGTGAGAAGCGACACAGAGCCGCCTCCCTCTCCTCCTCCCTGCCACTCTGAACACCAAACTTTAATCATCAGGACATTTCCATCAAGACAAAGGAAATCCTCACCAACCTGTTCGCACTGGCCGACGCCTGCGAAGACTCCAAGCTCACGCTGGAGGTTTTGAAGCAGCATCACTTCCCCCCTGCCACCGAGAACTTCCTGTTTCACCTGGCAGCTGCAGAGCAACTCTTACGGATATGAATGGAGCTTGTGCCGCGTAATCTCGGACACTTCCTGTCTCCTCAAAGGCTTTTGTTTTTCCTGCACTGAAATCTGAAGGTGAGGAACATGAGGAAGACTCCAGGTTGGTGATAATTAACGTTTTATTCAAAGTTTTAAATGCTGAATGCGATTAAAACCTGAACGGTTTTATTTCTTAATGCGTCTGTGGTACAATTTACAGTAAGAATCTATAGAAATCATAGACATGAATGTCATGTTATGGGATTTTAATATGCAATGTCATTGGATTTGTTATTGTTTTCTTTAAAATCATACATAAAGGCTCAAAGATACTAATATTCCATCAACAAGCCTCTGGTTTCATTCTAAATTGATATTTTGCAACTTTTCTTGAATTAATTGTCCTTTTAAATCCTTTTCCTTCACTTCAAAAAACACAAAATCTTACCAAATATCTTGTCTACAGATGAAATTAGACAAAACTAACTTATAAGTAACTTTTCAGAAAGATAGGAGCTTTTTTTAAAGTAAATAATTCTTTAATATTGATGAAAAAGCTTTAGCTCCACTGGCACATTTTTCACATTATAAATAAAATAGTAATTTTCCATCAATATTGAGGAATTATTTACTTAAAACAAGCTGCCAGTGTTGTGGTACTCGAAGTTGGTCTTGGTCTCGGGTTAGGTGGTCTTGACCACAACACTGCAAGCTGCTATATATGTTTGTTTTGTCGTATTTCAACTGTAGGCCAAAAGTACTTGGTAAGACTTTGTGTTTTTTGCAGTGAAGGAACATAATTTAAAAGGATAACTTTTATGTTGCCACAGATTAATAATGAGCTTCTGTCAATCGTCATACCAAACCAGAAGTTAATAACTTTTGCTCTTATCAAGTTAAATAAACGTCGTCTGCAGTCTTTATAATCTGAAGAGTCATTTTACGCTCAGTCCAGCTAAAAAATGTTTTGGGCTGCAAATGTTACAGGATCTTTAGAAGAAAAAAAAGTGGCTTTGTGTTTGAAGAACCATAATTTTATTTTTCTGTTTAAGTTTTCAAACAAAGATGCAAAATTTTTGCAATTAAATTGGTAGATATTAATATTTGTGGAAAATCCTTTATTATTTCCTCTAAAGTTTATATATTTAAACCTAATATCTGTACACTGTGATATTTGAAATCAGTTAGAAACTCTTGTTTGGCTTGATGATGCTGATTCTTATACTGAAGAAATCACATATTTTCCAAACTAGTGAGAAAATGCCTTGAATGAATGTATGCAAATCAGCCTGTAGGTATAATTTTGACCCTTTGTGGATTAAAAACAAAATCCACAATTCAAACTTTCTCACCAAATTGTTTGTTTTACCATCAACAAAATAACTGTTTAAATAAATGAACAAAAAGTAAAAGTGAATCTTAATTTGAAGCTCTGCGCTGATGGCTGCAGTCAGATCATCAACACGTCATTTTTTATTTTACTTTTTAAAAGGAGTTTCTGTCTGTGCTTCTGATTACATTTCCTACATTCCAGCTTCTTGTTCAAACAGAAATTCAGTGAAAATCATCCTCATGTGACGAGATGTTATTACAAAATTGAGTTAGTAAAAAGAACCACCTGGTTTTTCCCTGTTAATCAGTTTAACGTTTTGTTTTTTACTAATGGGATCAGTGCTGTGGGTTATTTTTTAAAATGTTTTTATAAAAGACGCACCGATCCACCAGGCAGAGATCAGAACCGGCTGACTTTTACCTCCATCGTCTGGTCACACACTAAAATACATGAACATTCACTTCCCGTTAAGTGAAACCTGGGAATTCCCACCATTTATCGTCCTTTAAACGCATCAGCCGACAGCATGTAGGGGCCAAAAGTTAAGATCCAAGATGGCTGAGACTTTGAAATTATTACCAAACTTTTTCTGTTGTCAACTTGACATTTATCCTGTAAATATTAAATAAATCCGTCAGGGGGGAAAAAAAATCAATTACGATAAACTGGATTAAAAAGTTTACAAACCATTAAACTAAAACTGTATAAAAGCAATTGATGATATGAACCCTCCTAATTCTGGAAAAGTTCTCCAAATCTAACAGACGTGGAAAATCTCAGGTCAAAACTGACCAGAATTTGGACATTTTTACTTTTTCAACACTGCATGATACTGCCACCACCACTGTTTTTGGTCGGTTTTAACCAACATCAATAGTAGCTCTGGGAGGAAGTGGAAGAAATTTCTTTTCACAGATTATCTGTCTCGTGTTAAATTGCAGGGCCGGCCAAAGTATTTTTGGGGCCTGAAGCAGATTTTTATTTGGGGCCCCCCCATACCAACATTTATCATTCCTAATCTACTCTGTGTGCAACATACCTGCATTCATTAGCATCGTTTGAAATGAGCTTACATCATACCAGTGCTATTATGGTTATTACAGGAGTAATAAACTAAAAAAAATGTGGATTTTTGAAATGCAGTGGTATTTAAGTGTACCATATTATTTCAACTATTTGACCGTAACATCAGCTGATAAACACTAAATTTAGTTTTTCAAACTAAATGATGTTTGTCTTTTATTATTCAGTGTTATTTTATGTGTATATATATATGTGTGTCATGCTAGCTTGGTGCTCTTGGGGGCCCCCTAGAGGTTTGGGGGCTTTAAGCAGCTGCTTATCTGACATGGTGACAGATTTAATTTGTAAAAAACATTTTTATAAACGTTACATACTGCGCTGTTTTTTACTGCTTCACACGACTTACTGTTCAGGTTATTAATGTTTCATTGTTGATTCTTTCTGAAAAATCAGATTTTTTTTGCCTCATTCTCTTAAATAAGAAAGTAGGTTTACATTTTAAAATCCATGTAACATCAAAGCATAAAATGTATTTTTATGATTTAATAAAATGTTTGGTAAAAAAGACACCTGATACAACGACTGAATAAAGTTAATATCAAAATGACTTGGTTTAATAAATTAAATTTGAGACGTTTCCAGAGGTTTTGCTCCTCAGAGTCCTCTGTGGTAGATCAACGTTTGGCCCGACGCTCCGGCCTGCAGCTCCTCCTCCACGCTCTCCCGGTTTATCTGTGAAACGAAGCCGTAGTCAGTTTGGAAAACCTCAGAGCCGATGGGAAGCAGAAAACCCCGAACCTCACCGTTCCCGCCGGCGAGAAGAGGCTGAAGGAGACGGGGATCATCAATCCGAAGACTAGCGCCACGCTGATGTGGCGACACGGCGCCATCAGCAGAGAGTTCCTCTGGAAAAATCTACTCCTGCAAAAAGAAAACAGATTTCTGTCCAAATGTGGTTGAAAATACTATCTAGCGGGATATTTCCACAGGATTTAAACTATTGGATTAATCAAACAATTGAAATAATCAACTAATTTAGCAATTAATTAATTGTTAACTGGAGTATACAGACTCAAAGGTTATTTGCTAGAAAAAATACAAATATACATTTAAATTTTGCATTTAAGATTAAAAACATCTGTAAATGTGTTCTGTACATCAGTTTAGCTTCAGATAAAATAATAAAAAAATTACTTTTAAGCACTTTTTGCTATCCAATTACTGAGTTAATCCTGCACTGTGTTAATGTTCTTAGCTGCAATGGAATTCTGCTGTTGCGTTTTAGACAATAAAATGTTTATTCTCTTATATTTGTCTATTTGCATATTTTAAATGCACTACAAATATCTCTAATATTGCAAATAAGTCTTAAGTGATTACATGAAAAATCTGCTAAATGTGCCATTTTTTTTATATCAAAATGCTCGTCATGATCAATAGAATGATCTATTGATTACAAGTTGCAGCCCAAATTTTTAAACATTTTTTAAGACCCCAAACAAAGAAACTGCTAGTTCAGCTTTATCTTTACTGTCTTTACATCACAAAAGGTACAAAAATTGAGATCCGAAAAAAGAAATGCTGCAGCTGCACAGCAAAGTTTAAAATGACTTGGAAAGCTTTACAGTAAAATAGAGGAACTGAACCTCCATTAGGTAAACTCTATCTGAAGTGATTTTATAGAAAAAGTTAGCCAGTAACTTCAAAGAAAAACTAATATTAATGATATAAAAATAATAAAAATCAAATTCACCTTTGTAGGAATAAAAGCAGCAGGTTAGGAACGCCAGCAGTCGTCCCAAACAGCACTGCTCTCGACAGCGCAGTTTCCCACACGGCCTAATTAAAGCAAACTTTTAATTCTAAAACCGTTACATTAAAGTTTCATTAATTTTTCTGCTTTTTTAACCTTTGACCCTGCTGCTTTGGAGACGCCAACAGGGTTTCCGTTACAATCGAACACTTGGATCCCCGTTTCCGTTTCCTGGTGTCTGACGGTGAGAACGTTGAAGAACGCCAGAGCAGCTGAGGGAGGTGAAGGAAAAGATCAGGAATCCACAGCAGGGAAGAGTCAGAAACACAGAGAAAACAAAAAATACAGAGAAAACACAACATAAGACAGAGAAAACAACAAAAAACACAGAAACCAACAAAAAACACAGAGAAAACAATAAAAAACAATGACTAATAAAAATAAAACAAAATATTTTATTAATGACTAAAAATGAGCAAACACTCTATAAAAAACTAATAAAAACTACCTGAATTTAGACAAAAAGTCAATGAAATAAAACTAAAACTACAATGAAAAACCTATTATAACCCTGGTTGAGACGCAATATAATTTGCACGTGAAAAATGTGCAGAAAACTTTTTACATGTGAGATTCCCCCATTTTATTTGTTCTTCATGTTATAAATTATTATTGTGAATTTTCATATTTACTCAATTTTTAAAAAGTGATGTCCCATGCGAGATATGATTCTACACATTCAGACATGTTTACGCGCCTGAAGCCTAATTTGAGGACAGGAAGGTCACCTGACAGCGGGATGGGCAGAATGGACCTGCAGAACGTCTGCAGCGGAGGGCTTCTTATGCGGAGTCTGTCGATAAAAATCTGAGGGAGAGCCTAAAATAATAAACACAGAACATCCAATCAGCGACTCCTCAAACTGTTTAGCTTTCGGTGATGAACAACTCTGCAGTGAAAAGCCGCACACACCCCAGCACACGTCGTGTAGGAAACGGTTCCCACCATGAGCAGAAGCTGCGGTAGTGACGTCTTCTTCTCCTGGAGACAAAGAGACGGTGAAACTGAACAACCTGCTACTTTTGAGTCATTTTGCAGACTTTACCTTCTCTGTTGAAGAGTTTCTGTGCATGTAGCTGAACCCGGCGTTGTAACTCTGCAGCAAAAACTGAACAGCAACATGAATGACTTCAGTTTATCAGCATCAACAAACTGAACAAATGCGAGACGACGAGCATCATTACCTGCCAGAACATCGCCGCTTTGACTCCGCTGTGAGGCAAAAGACTCGCAACAACCTGGAAACAGGAAGAGGTCGCTGTTTAGCAGCTGAGGGAAGTCATACTGGCTCCTTTAGGCTTATTTTAATGTGAAGAGAAAGAATATTCACAAAAAAACAAGCATGTTGCATGTATACAGAGCACAAAACTATATGTAAAATGCAAAGCAATACATTAATTGTATAGATATAATTTGAAAAGAGTAGAAACTGTGACATGAGTAAAAATCAGATGTGTAAATATGTGTAATGTTGGACATATTTGGATGAGATTTGGAAAGGATTTAATAAGACTTGTCTACAACTTTTTGAACTGGGCATGAAATTTAGTTTTTTTATGTTTGATTATTATGATACATGTTTTGTTTTCTTTTTAATTGTTTTATTTTTTCTCTGGCATCTTACTTGCTCAAAATAAATAAAGATTTCATTTCATAATTCAAATAATATCGATACCAAGTCTGTATTGATAGTTTCAGATTCCCTCTTGACATTTTATTTTTGTATTGTAGTTCCTCGACTCTACTGTTAAAACATTATTTTGTTTTAATTTGCTCTCAAATGATAACTCAAAAATGTTTTTATTTTTCTACTGTTCACAAAGCATTTTGTGAACATCCATAAACTTTATCCAAGTTCTATGCTAGGTTTCTACAAAAATAATTCTAAGAAAAAACACAAAGGTAGAAAAAGGTATTTATGTTATTTATGTCTTTTCAAACTAAAATTTTTATGAAATAATTATTTCACTCACTAAGATGTAAATCTGTTTTTAATGTTTTCTAACAAAGGAATGTCCTGGACTGTTACTTTGTTAGCAAACATGGACTTCAGGTAATAAACACGCTTACCAAAGGTCCTGATATTGGTAGATATGCTGGAAAGAAGGAGAAAAATAAAAGTCACAATTTTTTTCAAACTGTACAGGAAACAAAATGTGTTTCAGAAATTTACTTCAAGTAGCTAACTGGAGGTGTGAGGGTGGAGCAGTGAGACAGTGGTGAGGTGTACGGTAGAGTGAGAGTGAATGTGTTTAGAGCAGGAGTATAAATACATCAACCCTCCCCAACTCAACTTTTACACTCGTATATGCAAATAATTGCAAACAGATGCGCAATTATGCAACTATACATCTTTGAAAAGCAGAAATGGAGCCTCCTGCACAACCAACAAAAATGTATCAAGCAGTTTCTGGATGATAAATCAACAACAAAAGAGCCATTGTGCAGCAAATACAGTGGTAACACCAGCTGACCAAATGTGCTGAAACCACTAAAATATATTTTAGAAATGAAATAAAAAACATTGCAGAATACATGTAACTTTAGGTTAAACACATAATTAATTCTAGTATAATAGATTCAGTTCCCAACCATTATTTTTTTGTCCTTTAAAACTTTTACTATCATTAAATATAACATCAGTTGGCATTAAATTGCTACAGCATGCCTAGTAAAACTGAAATGTGAATTTTGAGACAAAAATGCTCGTTTTCATTTCATACCTGGAGGGCGGAAAAAAAGTGGAAGAACTGCACCAGAAACAGGGTGGGAAGAAGACTGTAAACACAAGATAGAATAAATATCATATGCAAAAAATCATTTTAATAAAAGTTGAGATTTGTATTAGAAAATATGTGAAATCTAATTAAACTTACAAGTGAGAGGTTCACTGCCGCTTCATCCTGTCAGAAATGCAGATATTAAAGGTTTGCTTTGTTTTAAACCACTTTACGTACTTAAAACACTAAAAGGCACTCTGACCTTTTCATCCAGCTTCTCTGTACTTCCAATAAGAGAATGGGCTTTCAGTATTTCAGCCTGAGGAGAGCAGAGAGAGCAGATTATTACGACCAGGCCAACATCGGAGCAGGTCTCCAACGTTACTGTTAAATCTCACATTAGAGGAGAGCAGCAGGGACGGATCCAGGAGACAAACCCAAGTCCTCAACCTGCTGAGGAAAGACTAAAACACAAAACAGGTTCAGTGTAACAACCATTAATGATCTGCGTGTTTAATCACTGCGGTGAACTGTTACCTGGCCTTGGTTTTTCCACTGCAACAGATTAGCATCCATAACGAATAAAAAAATAAAAGTTTACAGAAATTAAAGTAAAACAACCCACTGAAAAATAATCCTAAAAGCATGCCTTTCTCATGCTTCTGAGGTCAAGATGTTTAAAACGAGACTTCCGTTTTAGTCACGTGATCAGCCCTGTGGGTGGGTATGTTCAAGATGCATTCAAAAAAGAGGAAATAACAGAGATAAGAAATGTTTTATTTTTAGATCACACACTCCAATTCAATACATCAATAAGTTGTTAGATAATTAGGTAAAAATTATATAATTTAAATAAAACTGGATAAATGCTACATCTATTAGTTAAATTAAGACATTCAAACATTTAAATTATTTATTAGATATATAATAAAACGAGAACATAATGGTAAATCCACATTTGTTTATTTCACAGTCCTGTTTGACAGTAAGTCACGAATTAATTTAATATCCATCATAGTCGGTGGTAAAAATATGATTAATCCTGACTTCAACATATACGCCCCTCTCAATATGGCGTCGACGTTGACGTACGAAGTTCTGAAGAGCACCTGAAGGCAACATGACCGACAGACGCCCTTATTTTATTCTTCGGGAAATACTTATTTCGTGTTAAATCCTTTACTGCAATATAATTTTTCAAAGTGTAACAAAAAATATTTATTTATTTTATTTTACTGATTTTAATGACTGATTTGTGTCCCGCACGTGGCTCAAACCTCCCTCCGGTTGTGACATAATCCAACATGGCGGCCACCGTTGGCAGACTGTTCAGGACCTCTGTGAGTTAAACTCTTAATTTCTGTCAGCTTAGGCTGTTTGTTCGCTCTGTTTACCCCGGTTTGCAGCTCAGGAAGTAGGAATAAACTCATGTCAGAAGAAGTTTTTAATTAATTTGTTCAGAAACGGGTTAATGTGCTGCGTTTATATCCAAATTTGACACTGTGTTTCCAACCTCTGGTTCGCGGGCACTCCATGCAAACATTTAAAAAAAAAAACGTGTTCAAAATTTATTTGTTAATTATTTGTAAATGTGCGCTATAATTATGTATTTTGGCTAAACCTTTGAAACAGTTGTGTGACTTCATTTGAGTAGCGATTGAAATAGTTTTCAAATGATGCCAAGATCAAAATGAAGGTTAAAAACAAGGTCAAAAACAGTGGTTATTTATATTACTGTATAAGATATTTGGCACAGGTTTTCCATTTGTTAAAATATTGCAACAAAGTCGATAAAATGAAGACATTTTGTCCCTCAATTTACATTGAAAGTCATGAAAAGTTGTTACCCAAAATCACAAAAAATCATAGTTGTGTTTTCTGTTTTTGTATATGTTACCATAAAAATGGCAAATGCTCTTACTGCCTTATAATTAAGCTAAGAAGTAAAAAAAAACCTAAGAAAGAAGTAAATAGTTGGCAGCTGGCAGCTGGCAGTGTAAATCCGTGGTAATCTGATTGACTTTTTTTCTTGTTCATTAAATGCATCCAAACTAAGAACCTTTTTTGTTCCAGTTCTTCAGTAATTTATATTTTTAAGTATTTCTTATTATCTTGTAGGTTCAGGTTGCAGCTGGAGGGCTGAAAGTTGCAGCTGCTTGCCAGCATGGAGTTGGCGGCGCTGCCAGGGTCCTTTCTGCTCCTGTTCTCCAGAAATCCTTTTTCTCCACCGGTACGTATCGTATCACTAACAACGTCCAGGAGTCGATATTATTCTTTCTACTGCTGATGATCATTAATCAGGTTAATTGTTTTAATCCTACAGATGAGATTAAACCAGAACTGTTTGCCACCTTGCCACCACCGTCAGGCACGGTGGTGGCAAGGTGATGATTTGGGATCGTTTTGCAACTGTTTTTCTTATTTTAACTTTTAAAGCAACCAAAAGCAGGAATTTACAACCGAATGGTAAATAAACAACTAGAGGATTTAATAATTTTACATCATTTAGCTCATTATTTCTCAACTGTGAAACTACAGATTAAATTGTATTTTTCTTCCTGTAAAGTTTATTTTATTTTTCAATCTTCTAAAACAAAAAAAAGTAACAGAAGCAAAATTGTTTTAATTTAAAATAAATAAATATTAAAGAATATTTATTAGAATTTAGTAACTGTGTAAGATTTAATTTTCTCTGCTTCAAAAAGATTTAGCAAATTAAAATTTTTAGTGTAGTCTCTTTTCATATGAAACAGTTGCTGATTTCAGCCATAACGCTCCGTTTACAGACCAGCCTCTTGTGTAAAGGAGACCAGAGAGAGCTGCTGGCCGAATCTCCAGATAACAGAGTAAGAATTGTTTGACGTTTTGTTTATCAGGCTCCTCCAGATGGGCGGCCGCCGTCACTCAGCCGGCGCCCGGCTTTAAGGCCACGGCTGTCCACAACGGGGAGTTCAAGGACCTGAGTCTGGCGGACTTCAAGGGAAAATACCTCGTCCTTTTCTTCTACCCTCTGGACTTGTGAGTATTTGTGAAAGAAAAAAAAACTGGGATTTAAGATGTGAAGATGCAGAAATGGAGAGAACTGAAACAGTTTGTCGTTACTGGCATTGGACTAAAGCGAAACCTTTTTAATTCCTGCGTTTTTGCTGTTTTCAGTACGTTCGTGTGTCCGACGGAGATCATCTCGTTCAGCGACAAGGCCAAGGAGTTTCACGACGTCAACTGTGAGGTGGTGGGCGTCTCTGTGGATTCTCACTTCACCCACCTGGCCTGGATCAACACGCCACGAAAGGTGCAAATGACTCTGAACACGCAGAGACTGCAGCGCATATGTAGATAAATATGTGTGTTAGCAGCTTTTATTGCCGTTCCAGGCTGGAGGTTTAGGAAACATCCACATCCCTCTGCTGTCGGACCTCAACAAGCAGATCTCCAGAGACTACGGGGTTCTGCTGGACGGCCCGGGAATCGCACTGAGGTGGGCTCACTGTATCAGGAGTTATACCTGTTAACATCTTTAGCTTGTTTTATTTTCATATTCAAAGCCCTTAAATGGTTTCTTACAAGCAGAAACGTCAACATATTTTGTGTGAGCCAAACTGTGAAGAGGAAGTAAAATTATATGTGGATTTCCATATAAAAACACCCACAAATAAAGTCCAGCCTTCTTCAGAGGTGATTTGGTTTGTAAATAGTCCAGTTGTGAGTAATTTAATCTCAGTACAAGTCCAGATGTTCAGTGAACATTAGAGAACAAACTAGATTATGAGTTTAAATCAGAGTAGCTTATAAAACAAAATCCCCAGTTTTTAACATCTGTTTCGTCAATCCGGTTCAAATTCAGAAGGACTTTGTTCAACCAAAAGGGAAAATAAATCAACAATTAATGAACTAATTAATTGATGAACATCAGCTTCAGTTTGTGCAAAAGCAAACAACTTGATTTTGGTTCCATCTTCTTCTGAATGAAGTGTTTAAATGTAAACAAAGAAAAAAAATGTTTTTTTCAAATTGTAACCAATTTTGGGTTTTTATCTAGTGACTTTTTCTCTGTTTCTTTTCTTAAAATGAAATGACAGAAAAGTTTCAAAAACTTTTTATTTCAATCATTACAGTGTAGTATTAGAACCAGAGTGTGAATTGTTTAATACAAGAATAGTCATAATAATTAATATGAGAATAACATTAGAATAAAGTCATGATATTAAGTGAATAAACTTGTAATACTACTTTATTGTTGAAATCCTTTTCCTGAAATTTTTTTTGTGTGGCCTTAATACTCGTTATAAATACAAGATGTTTGGTCCTGGGTCGGCTGCAATCACTTTAAGCTAAACTAGAAATTTAATGGTGGAAATTAAAATCCAGATTTTCCAAAAATTACATTTACAAAAACAGTAAATTTGAGGTTAAATTATGGAAATGGGCCTGATATTGATGAGGGCACTCTGGAAGAAACCGTCGCTGTGGCACCGACTCGAAAGTTAAAGTCTAAACAGTTCATGTCCAGCATGTGTGGGGTCTGCAGAGTTGTTGTGTTGGTCTAAAATACATTGAGATGTGTGGTAAATACCTCTCTTGCCCAGAGAAACATCCGATAATCTTGTTACATTGTTTTAGGGGCTTATTCATCATCGATCCAAACGGTGTGGTGAAGCACATGAGCGTCAACGACCTGCCAGTGGGTCGGAGCGTAGAGGAGACGCTGCGCCTGGTCAAGGCCTTCCAGTTCGTCGAGACGCACGGAGAGGTTTGTCCAGCCAGCTGGACGCCGAAGTCCCCCACAGTGAGTATCTCTGGGGAAACTGCAGATCCCTACAGCACCTAAACATCCCTGATGCTGTCCGCAGGGGGAATACGGCAGGCCGTTTTAACATAAAATCAGTTTCACCACACTTACAGATATTCGAAATTGGCTTATGAGTACAAGTATTAGAAAGTTAAGATATCTCTAATTATGTTCTGACTTGTGTAAATGACAAATTTGCCTTTGAGTTGTTTATTCAATGAAGTTCTGAAATGCTTTTTGAAGATGCACCATTTTCAGCTTGGAAATGGGTCGACAGCGACTCTCTTAGCTTTTCAAAGCCGGTTTGATGCATTTTGTTCGTTGGAAGTGAATAAGCAGAAATTTTTTGCAGATTTCTAAAATGGTATTCAAGTTCTACATTGTGGCATTTTCTGCCAATTATGTGCAGAAATTGAACAGCTCCGTAACGACACAGGGGGCTCATGCAGTTCTTAAGTCAGATTTCTAAAAATGTAATTTTGATGAGTCACATTTACATCCACGTTATTTTATGTTGTAATTATGGAAATGACAAATCCAGTAATTTGAGTTATAATTATTATTCTTACTAGACAGAATGTTAGTGCGGCGAGCTTAAATTCAGATTCCTGAAAGTCAAAATGCCTTTTTAGATATCCAGAATGCAATTACTAGTAGTGAGACGAAAGTGATTTTATGTTAAAATGGCCTGCCATTTTCCCTCCTCTTTTGGATTAGATTAGCTTGGAGTTGAGGTCAAAGGTCGATCAGCCTGCTTCATGTTTGGATGGAGACTAAAAGCTGTTTGACTAACTAAGCTCATTACTTTACCTGAGCAAAGGTTACAGATCTGCTGCAGTGACCTTCATGTTGGCCTCCTGCTGGAAGGAGCTAACGGTTAAATGAGGAGTCCTGCTGGGATTTTTTTATTTTTTGCAATCAAAATCCCTGATTTTTGTGGTGCTACTTTACAAATATGTTCAAGAAATTTTGCAATATTTTTTCCCATTAAACAGTTTCCAAATTCTACATATAGAAGAAAAAAGACAAGCAGATTTTATTCCTTGAGGAACGTAAATGGCTCAATTTACATAATTTTCACAGAAGATAACTTTATCAAGTGAGGCAGCAGGTTTCTAGTAGAAACACTGCCACCTGCTGGTGGGAGCTCATGGAGCATCGCTGTAAAGTTATACAGTGAAAAAAATTAACAGCAAAAATTGGATTTAACGTGTCAGAGAAGAAAAATGTAGGCGTTAATTTTTCAGTCATATTTTCACCATCTTATTTATCTATTTATAAATATCAGAGTTCCAAGCTAAATCTCTTATTCACAAAATATATTTAGTTCCCAAATAAATATTTAGCTTATATTTAGTTGAAAACTAAATGTTTAATTTTCAAACTAAACATTTTGCTCAGATCTAAATATTTAGCAAGTAAGCTAATTATTATCTTCATTGACACTCAATATTTTGACCATTTGTGTAAAAGTCAATTATGCATTAGCGTTTAAATACAAAGCAGCTATTTTTATGTGAATTTCAACAAATTATTGTTGGTAAAAGAACAATTTTACTGGTTAGTTTTTTATAGTAAAAATTTTAAATTATTTAAACTGAGCTGCTCTGTTGCTTTGCAACAAGAAGGTCCTGGGTTTGAATCCCCAGCTGGATTTTGTTTCTGCTCTTATCAAGTGTTCGGTGAGAGCAGCATAATGTCTAACTCTCGTTCCTTTTCAGATCAAACCAACCCCTGAAGGATCGAAGGAGTACTTTGAGAAAGTCAACTAACCGTTCCCACCGCCGTCAGGTGAAAATCACAGAAAATAAAAAGCTTCTTAGTTTACCGATTTAATCTGTTCGACAAACTCCTGGCTTTGATTCGTCTGGACCCGTTTGTGTTTCTGTTTATCGACTCGCATCTCTACTGTATGAAGATAATAAAAATCACGCTGAGTAACCCCTGTACATAAACATGTTTATTTCCTTTTTACAGCAAGTTAATATGCAGGTTCAAAATGTCTGACATTGGTACACAACATGAAGTGCCAAAAATCAACCAAAGTGGGAGAGAACTGGAAATTAGAAAAAAAGGCATTTGCCACTTCTCATACAAGTAGGGTACATACTGTATTTACACAAAGTAGGGAGAAACACTCTGCAGCACAGTGTGGTGATGAAAACATCTAGTTTTAGGTGTACATAAACTTTACTTTGTACAGTAGCAGAAATGAAGCGCCGCCTCGTTCCTGCAGATAGACGGTGTTTTTCTTTTTAGCTTACCGAAAGACGTGGGGCCTCTTTAAAGCTTTGAAATCCAAATAAAAAACATCCCCCAAAAGAAGAAAAGTGGGTCAAAATGTGGCTTCAGGAGTTTGAAACAGAAAAAAATGGAGGCAGAATTTGATGAAGGTGGTTAAATGTGGAAAAAACTTCATGCAGTTTCAGGCAAGCTGTAACAGCGCCCACCCCAAGCACCGTACTAAGAGAAAAACAAATCAATGCAACTAAAGGATTCATTAAAAAAAAAACACCCTGTAGTAAAACTGTACAACGAAAATACATTTGGGATCTACATCTAAAGGTACATTATTAAGGTTATATACACGCCACCCCATCCATATATTATCTTTACATGTAGACTTCATTCAACCCAAACATTTAGAAAACAAGACTAACTTGGGGATGGGATCACATCAAACAGCCATTAAAAACAAACGAAAAAAGAAAATCAGTTCTTCCTGCACCTCAGCTGCTGATCCGTTCCTGTCCAGTTCAGAAACCCGACAGCTGGTCAGAACCTCACCGACTGGATGGACTGCTTCTGGAGAATTAAGCCACCAAACGGAGGGTGGCGGCGCGTTTTTGTTGTTTTCAGTGAAAGTAAAAGAACAAACTACGGTACGGCGGAGAGACGACGACACTTCGAGTGACTTCCAGGAATACAAAATAGAAACGAACCCGGCTCCCGTATAATCCGACGCAACAGAACCAAGGCTTTCCGAACGCTCCGGCCTCTTCACTGAAGAGAGCTACGCTACTCCGTCAACGTGTCGTCTCGTTTGGGACTGGCTCGGGGGGAAACGAGAGAAAAGTCGGCTTTAAACATTCAACCCCCCCAACCTTTTCCTAAAGCAACTGATTAAAAAATACATCTCCTCCAGACTTCTCTCTCTTAAAGTCACGGTGTTGAAATTTATTCAGAAAAAAAAAAAAAAAAAAAAAAACAATGTTGAACAAAGTGAGATCCTCACAATCTCTCTGCAAGAGGGAAAGGAATAAATGACTTGTGCCTGCCGTCTTCCAGAACACGAAGGTGGATCAGTCAAATCCCCGTGTTGCTGCTACGCTGCTTAGTCGATTTTCACGTTTGTGTAGATCTTCCTCACGAAGGCACTTGTTCCCATGTAGCCGACGGCGCCTGGAAACAGATTGAATGAAGCGGGTCAGTTCTGCAGAGGAGCTCTAGGAAATGTCTGAGCAGCAGTCGGACCGGAGAGCCCAGAAGGCAAAAAAAAAAAAAAAAAAGCACCTGATTGACAAACACTTTTTGAAACAGGGGTTGTGTGGAGTATGTCTGAGGAGGCATTAGGCAGAGATATTTAAAACGTTTGAGGGCCAAAATCAAACGAGCAGAAGAAGAGTTTGTTCTGAATGTATGGAGTACAGACTAAAACAGTGACGACCCTCCCCCACTTGTTGCTGCATACTGCTGGTCAGCTGGCTAAATGCACGCTTCTTGAGATTTTCCTTACTCATGAGAAAAATTTACCATTTCAAAAACAGTTGTGCAGCAACTAAGGCTGAAACAATCTGATTAATTTCAATGAATCGATTATTGAAATCAACTAATTTAGTAATAAATTGCTAACCAGAGTGCACCAACTGAAAACAGTTTTGAAAAAATAAAATACAATCAGAGCAATAATTAAAGCAAAACTGTACAAAAATATACACATTTTGCATTTAAGGTGAAAAAAATCTGAGTGTAAAAATGTTTTTACCAAAACTCCTCATGTTGCAGTTTTAGCTTCACCCGGTTCAAATTGTGCACAAAAAATCCATTGAGCTCCTTTTGCTATCCAATTATTAGTTGGATAAACACAAAAATAACCAGAAACTGTACTAATTAAAAAGAGAATTAAAAAATGGAATGAGTTTTTTTTGCATCTTTTAATGTATTTTTACCATAAACTCAGCAGAATGTGCCACTTTTTATCTGGTTAACCATCAGAAAAATGGATTTCTGAAATAACTCTTAGCTGGTGGTAATTTATCACTTAGAAATTTAACAAGGAAGCAGATAAAGTCCTAATTAGAAGCTACATGTTCTCAACTTTAAATCAGAGTACCCATGTTTCTTCAGTTTGTGACATTTTGGTGTTTAAATCAGAGCAGAAACTCACCACACATGATTCCCAGAGCAGTGCTGAACACGGCCATGTACCCAAAGTAGAAGGACGTTTGAAATAACCCATACATCCTGAAATGCACAAGAAAACATTTTAGAATCAAAGAACATACTTTTAATTTCATTTCAGTTTTCTATCAAATATTAGAAATACAGCCATCACTCACTTAGTTTTGAAGAAGTAGTAGTAAAAGGAGTACATGTAAACATAAACCGCAGTAGATGCAGCAGAGAGGAAGCTCGTCCACTGCCTGGAGAAACATCAAACAAACATTTACTTGAGTTACTCTGGAAATATTTTTACTACGCTGCACTTTTTACTTTCACTCGAGTAATTTTATAATGAAGTATCTCTGCTCTGCTCTTGAGTAAAATTTCTTCATTTTCATGTTTTAACCGAAAATTCACCAGACACAAACACACACCTGCAGTTTTTGTTAGAGTTTCATAAGTCTCTTATTGAAAATAAATAATTTGGAAACATTTTCTTTTTGCCTGATTTTATTACTTATATGAATTATTGTCATTTTGGTCCTTAAAATACCAAAATTTTCACTTAACTTTATATTTTGGTCCATCTGACGAAGTTTAAGTGGTTGATGTTTTGATCAGTTGATTAGACTTTTTACCAAATACTTTTTTACTATTGAGTAAAATTTCTGGATTCTCTGTACATTTTTGGTTACTCTGCCACCTCTGTAGCATAAACACATCAACTAGAGAATAAAACCCTGATGTGTGTTTAAAACAAACGCTCACCATCTGTAATCCTCGGCGTTGAGCAGGAAGTATGTGCACACGATGGTGACGCACACCGTGACGATGCAGAGGATCACCAGGACCAGCATCATGAAGCCGTACACGTAGTAGATTTTGTAGGCCCAAAAGGAGGTGAAGATGAAGTACCTGACAGGAGAGGAGAGGAGAGAGCGTGTCGTTGCGGCGCGGCGTCTAACGGAGAACCGGATCATTTCCTCAGGAAACACTTACATTTCTATGAAAATGGAGCCGAAGGGCAGGATTCCCCCGAGGCACACGATGACAGCCGGCTCCATGAACCTGAGGCAGGACGAGATTCAACACAATCAGAGCGTTTATATTTCCCTTCAGGGAGACTAAACATGTTTTCTAAACATGTTTTATTACTTAAAGAAGGACAAGTCTGGCGTTTTTTTTCTATTTTACAGCCGATGTTTCCATGAAAAGCAGCAGTTTGTCCTCAGAGTCGGCGGGTCAGACTTACAGAACGGAAACAACTTCAGGTGTTTCAGCAGCAAACACACAGATTCAATCAAAAGGTAAAATATAACAACAAAAATAACAATACAAGACTGTATAAGTGAGGGCAGATTTACAGCAAAAGAAAAAATCCTGTGCAAAAATACTCAAATGTGCAACTGTAAAGATTGTGCAAACAATAGCAGGGATTTGTTGGTTATAAAGTCTAGGGCTGAAACAATAATCAATTATTGAAATAAATGTCAACTAATTTAATAATTAATCAATTGATAACTATTGTGCAGAACACAGACTAAAAAAAGGCCATTTGATAGAGATACAACATTCAGAGCATTAATTAGGTCAAAACTTAACAAAATCTTTTCATTTTGCAAATGAGAAAATATTTAAAAACTTTTTTCTTTTCTCAAGTGGCTGTTCAATAATGAGGAGTTATTTTCTTAAAACAAGCTCCTATATTTTGCTGAAAAGTTACCTGTAAATTAGTTTTGTTTTATTCCAAGTGTGACAAGATATTTAAACTAAAATCTAGGCAGAAATACTTGGTAAGATTTTTGAGTTTTGTCCATCTGTACATTTAATTTGCAGTAATGTATGTGCTGCTCCCTGCTGTAAAATCATCCACCCACCATTTCTTCTCGGGGATCGGCCGCGGCACGGCGTTCACTCTGCAGGGGAAGTTGGGCTGACCAGACAGGTTTCGCCCCAAAATGGTTCCCACGAGGTTCAGAGGCAGAATGACGAAGAAACAGATGCAGCAGACAGCAACCTGGAGCGGAAAGAGAAAATATATTTCTGTTTACATCTGCTGTGTTTTCATATCCCCCCGACTGTCGGATCAATCAACACAAATGATCAGCAGATGGACTGATTAGTGACGATAAATGTATTTTTCCCCATTGATCTCGAATAAAACAGCAGAAAAGGCTTCGTTATGAAATGTAGTTTATGACTGGATAAAACCACGTAGAGTAAACGGAGCAAACTGAATGTGTGAATCGTTTCTGGTGATTTCATGGAGGCTTCAGCTGCACAAGAACATAAATACATGGAGAATGAAGCGTTATCCAGCCGCATATTGGTCAGAGATGTGACCTTAATTTCATTTGGTGGTATCAGAGTAAAGGAGGCTAAAGACACATTTTTATGTTGAATTTATGATGTTTCATGCATTTTCTTTTGTTCCAACACATAAAATTCCTCTAAAATACATTCAGGTTTATGTTTAATGTGAAACAGAGGCTGTGAATGCTGACTCTGACTGAGCAGCAAGTCGAGCCTTCAAGCAGCTGTTTCTAGTTAAGAACATCGTTGTTGATGAATTGACAAAGTCAGGAAGCGTCCTGTGAAATGCGTTTATTTCAGTTGAACTCTTTAGTTTAATCCGTTTCCTGGTTGTCCAGCAGATTCATTGCTTCTGCTGCTTCCACCAAGCGTTTTATTCTCACCGCTCTAATCGGGTCACAGCAGACTGCCGACACCGCAAGCTGTTGACTCAGATTCCTTCTGCATGTTGCAATGTGAAGCAACGACTCACCATGGTCCCGAAGGGGATGGCTCTGGAGGCGTGGTAGTAGATGGCGATGAAGTTGATGAAGAAGGCCGTCCCGCACACCATGGCTGGGATCATGAAGGCCCCGATGAACATCTGCTTGATCCACCGCCTGCCTGCAGCGACAGATTCAAACCTTTTTAAAGGGTTTTTCTTTTTAATAGGTTATGATTTGGAAGCTTTATTACCTCCTTGTTTTGCATACAAACTTCCACCGAAGTAGCCGTTGACAGGGGAGGTTGCAGCGTAAACAAAAATGGCTGTGCTCAGCATGGAGCCCCTCCTGCAGAAAACACAGAAGGTTTGAGTTCAGACCGGTGGACCGTTTCCGCTGAAGTTTTATTCCACATAAAATGTATTGGAGTTTTTTGACTGTTTTTTTCTGTTAGCACCCCTTTTAAATAGCAACACATTCTGCCAAATTTCAAAAGTATGTTTCTGGGTTGCAAAACCCATAAAATGCAATCGATAATGGAAACTTTTGGGACATAACTGCAGCGGCTGGGAAAAAAAAAAGCAAAATTACAAAAAAAAAGATGGTATGAAGAGAACAAATAGGTTGACTATGTTGGTCAAACATAAAAATAAACTGCAGGAAACCGTTTTCCAAATGGCTCAGAAAGTGCTGTTAGGAATAATGTAAAATAAATAACGCAACATGTCAAGCATAGAATTAGACTGAACAGATCTTCCCTACTGGACCAGGAGCTTTATCATCGATACCCAATGTAGAATTTTTCTCACTTTTGGATTGGTGCATTTCTAGTATTTATTTAATTTACCATGAAAAATGGAAATAAAGTAAAAACAACACAATGCTCAGAATTCAGATACTCACTCTGTGTATAGATCCTCCACCATCGCAACGATGATGACGATGAAGGAGACAGAGAAGATCTGGCAGCCGGAGCCGATGAGCGAGGAGAAGATGAGCGGATGGCTGGACGGCCTGAAGACGTCGCCGTGCACCTGCTTCCAGCCGTACTCATCCCCCAGATCCCTGTCCTGTCGACACACGGTGACAGGAAGCAGAGCGAAGCAGCTTCAGCGACGAAGAGGCATTTAAAACCAGCATGATGAAACCAAAGTTCCCGCGGGTCGCTCACCATGTCGTCCATTTCTTCCTCTTTGCTGTATCTGGCGTAATCCTTCCTCAGGGTTCTCATTAGGATCATGGACACCAGACCCACCAGGAATATGACCATCATGAAGGAGTTAAAGATGGAGAACCAGTGAATCTAACGGCAGGAAAAAAAAGGTTAAATAAATATAATGATAGTTCATTGTATCTCCAGACACCCAGTGACACTACAAGAAAAACACTATACAAGACGTTCAGTAGAAACGTCTTTGATTTGCTTTGGGTAGGCCTGTTCTAATAACAAATTTTATAAACTGTCCCAGAAGTTACAGCAATAAACTATAATATTTTTGTTTTGAAACTATTTTCAAGTAACATAATGGCATAATAATGCAAGTAAACAAAGGGGCAGATTTAAGACTTATATCATCCAGTTTTTTGTATAAAGAGAAACAAAACAAACAATCATGCCAAAGCTTTAAATAAAACCTGTAAATGACTGGAAGTCAGTGAATCTGCTGTAAAACTGGGGTGATTTGAGAAAATGTGGAGGATTTAGTCTGAATCATCTGAAGTTCCCAAAGAGAGTTACAGAAATGAAACGGAGAAATGACAAACACTGTGGATCAGGATGAAGCAGAACATGAGCAAAGAGAAGGACAGAGACAGAAGAGGAAGAACATATGAATAGATAAAAACTTAAACTCCTCTAAAGCAGGAAAAAAACGTTTTTGCTTTTGAGAAATCCTTAAAAAAAAAGAAGCAGCAGTTTTATTTGCACTTCCTGAACAGCAGCATCCATCCCAGCATGAAACCTGAGGAGCGTTTCTCTCACCCGGTGCTGAAAGAAGGACGGGTCCAGGTACTTGTCAAACCTGTCCTCAAACTTCACATCCGACTTCTTCCATTTCACCTGGGTGGGAACAAACGTGCAGGATATGAGGTCAAATCCCGTAACCCACGGTAACCGTGGACACGCCCCACTTCCTGCCTCTTTTCCCTTAGCAGCTAATCAGAAAGCGATTCAAACATTTTATTATTGTCAATCTGATCATATTTAATAATTTATTTGTAAAACCACTGGCATCAGCATTCCATGTACCGGCAGCACATTTTGTTAAGTCTCCCAACAAGTTTCCAAGTTCAGTTTATTAAGTCAATCAGTAAAATGTAATCAGGACTGCTCAGTCTGTGGGATTCTCAAAAGAGGAAAAAGTGCAAATGATTCACAGTGAATTTCTGTTTTTTTAGACTAATCAGTAAAACATTTTAAAAAACTTTTTAAAACTGTAAAAAGTGGTTACTTGTCAGCTTCTTATACTTATTTTTTCTTGGAAACATGTAAAGCTTTTAACATTTTTTGTAGGGATTTAATGATATGAAAATTTTGGTCAATAGGTATTAATATTGCTGTTCTGGTCGATAACCGATATCATATATATATTATATTTCACTACTGTTGACACATTTAAAAAAAAAAAGAAGATGAAAATAAATGCTGGATTAATATCGGCCCAGTTTTGTTTATCAGAAGATACTGATGTTATATCTCTAATTATAAGTGAAAAAAATGATCAACAATATTGTGTCTCAGAAGAGATGGGAAGTGCTTAACATTTTAGATTCACAGCAAACAGGCTTCATCCATTTCCTGGACTTTTTCTGCGATCTACAGAGTTAGGGCAAGAATAACTGTTTTGTTTTAAATACGAAAGTAAATTTGTAAAAACAAACAATTACAAGTCTGGTAGAAGACTTTGTATTTATTTTGATTCAAATAATTTAAAAGACTTTTAGTGTTTTATGTTAATGTTTTATTGCAGTTGATTGGATTTTTTAAAGTTGTATTGAAAATCTCTGCCACATAGCATTTTTTTTTTTTTTTGCATATTTTTAAAAAGTCATTATAATGTCTTTAAATACACATTCATGCACTCAGTCAATGAGAAAAAAATCAGAAGTTCTGCTTTTTATGCAAAACAACAGTTTGTTCATGGCAGTGGCTTTGCCATGTCATCACCTTTGTATTCAAATGTATAACATAAAAACATATATATGTTGTTAAAAGTGGCAAATGTTAGACAAACTAATCTTCACTTCAAGTATCCTGATGATTAGTCTGACTGCAAGTATATTTCAAGTATATTTAATTATGTCAAAACATTTAATAGATTGGAATTTAATCATTCATTTGCCTAACCCTAACCATCTGAACTTTTTAATCCAATTGTTAAAAACGGGGAGATTCATAGCTTAGTTCAGTTCTGGTGAACTCAGTGCGGTGTCGTCTCATAAGCTGAATATATTTCACAGAACAAATAAACGTATTTGCATTTCCCAGAGTCTAATGAAATCACAAAACGGAAGCCTAACATTTGCATACTATGTACAAAGAGCTCTCAGTACTCACAGAATAGGACATGGCGATTCTGGTGTTTGGCATGAGCTTCACTTTGCCTTCGCTCGTCAGGTTTACGTCAACGATCCTGTTGCCGTTGTAGCCGATCTCCAGCTTTTTGTACGTCCAGAGGTAATGTTCTTCCCCGTTTTCGTCCGCCTCGCCGACGATGCCTTAAAGAAAACGAGATGGATGGAGTCACTGATCTGACGGAGGCAAAAGTGCTGATAGGGACTCAAGTCTGAACGCAGCACTGCTAGTCAGGACGTGCAAACCAAAATAAGGGGAAGCTTGTTGCATTGCGTGTCACTTGGGTTGCCACAACTATCTATAGTCCATCTATAATGAAGGTCAACTATAATAAATGCATCAATATCCTCTATAAACTATGTGACTTTATTTAAGCTGCTGAATGAACTCTGAATTCGTCTGTTTCCTCTGATTAAACTTTGATAGATTTAAGAGAATTTGATTAACTCTTCGCCTGCATTGTTCATGTGCAGCTAACCAAATTTATTCCATTTCTGTTTTCATAATGTTTCATTTTGCAAGTTCCAGTCTCCATTAAAACCAAGCGAAGAGTTTAACAGGAACACATCCTGTTCCCTTTGGACTTGAAGGGTGAATCTGGATGTTTATTTTCTACTTCAATATTATATTTAAGCACTTATCTGTAAACATAAATAATAAAAGGGTTATTTTAATAATTGTTATAGGAGAGGTGGGATGATTTACTTAAAGAAACAGGACAAACTACTATGCATGCACTGAAACCTAATTTATAGAGGTGACATAAAGGTAAAGTTTTATCACAATATTGGCACTATTGTAATAACAATAAAAAATTATTAAACTATCAATTAGCCCCACAAACAAATACCTTGATAGAAAATGGATGCATTTGCAGGTTTCTTTAGGACACCAGCCACATAAAAAAGTGTGATTTATGTCACTAAAATGAAGACAGAGGCAGGAAAAATAAAATAAAAAAAAAAAATATATATATATATATATATATATATTTTTTTTTTTTTTTTTTTCAAAATTTATTGACATTTATTGATAGTCTTACTGAAATAATAGAGAAAACATGAAACAACCCTGACAATACAGATAGTTTTGGGAGATTTTAAACATAAATTGAAATTTATCGGGGCAATTGAAAATCTAAATTTATCACGATAAATGACAGGATAAATGCCCATCCCTACCAGAACCTTCTGCTCCAAGGCAACAGAGCACCATATATATTTATTTACTATTATTCTGCTTTCTGGTATACAGTTTGTACAAAAATTGCCAAAAATGTTAGCTTTAGTAATTCAGTTTTTTATATTGCACCAATTCACCACAAATATTTACAAAAATGCTGGGAAGCAAAAGTATCACTTTCTGTACTACTTTCAGAAGCAAAGTAACAATTCTGCTTCTGTGCAGAAACTGTTAGTTTGCTTTTAGTAAGAGAATCATAAAGAAGGTACAAGAAATACTTTTATGCTACAAATAATGAACATTTAGAATCAAATGTAGCAGCCAGTGTCTTTCCCATCCACATAATAGCCCGGTTTGAACGCAATAAAATTGATAACACTGTCAAGTGTTTCTCCAAGGTCATAAAGTAATAAAGTCGAGATCTGCTGTGTTTGAGCTTGTGCATACAGTTCACCGTCATGCTTGCTGGAAAGTCAATGACTCAGTGCAACCCAAAGTGAATTTTATTAAGTTATCTTAAAACTTCAATCCAACTGAATCCATGTGTTTGGATTGTTGGCATGTTTCAGGATATAAATGTAAGATGTTTGATCTAAATATCTAAGCATCTCAGAAGTGATGAATCACGTTTTAACCCCTTAAATGCAGCCGAGTAAATATCAGAGCCTCACCCACTGCATGCAACATCCGCATGCAGACGGGTGGATGTTTAATCAGCCGGAGGAGTGGTGACCACAATTGCGAAAAACAAAACAAAAAAAAAAAAAACGTGACTACAAGTTTAGCGTGAAGAGGAAGAGACCTAAGAAGTGCCTTTGACATCCCTCTAATAGTACAGGTTGTGTGACATCAAAGCTCTTTTGCACAGGTGAATACACTAACGTTAAGTTGCTGTGGATCATTTGCATCCTAAATCCGTTTTAAGGTAAATGAAGTAGTAATGAATGAGTAAACAGCACAGTCATGTAGCTTCATTCCCAGAACTGGGTTGATCCCTTTGACTTTTTGGTGGGAAAAACATAGCAATATTTAAAAATCCCAAAACTTTTCAGCATCAACCAAAACCCCAGAGGTTGAAAGTAGCGTCACTTACCCCAGATGGGCAGGTCATCGATGTACATCTGATACCAGTAGTGGTTCTTTATAGCGTAAACAAAGGCATCCTGTTTGGGTTTGTCCAAGTCAATTGAACAGTATGTGTTCTGCATGACTTCCTCTGCAGAGATAATGGGAAAAAACATTTTCAATTAGGTGCCAAAAAATGTGAAACATACATACATTAACAGTTTTACTCGTGCGTTTGGGCCAAACAAAGCAGAAAACCTTTAAACTTGATGTCCAGGCCACTGAACTCCAGCTCCACCCCCTGCAGAGCCTCTCCGAGGGTTTCATGGTAATGACTGATGGTCTTCTTGGAACCCGCGCAAAAGGGCAAAGAGAAATACTTGTACGTCTCCTGTCGATTGTGGTAAGGCCCCACTGTGTTCATCCATAAAACAACCTCCTCCTTATCTGTGTACTACGAAGGGAAAATAAAGGGATTTATTCAGAGCAGTTCAAGAATGCTGCACCTGTTCTGCAAGTCCATCAGGTTTCTGAATATACAGTCTTGAGCCATGATTAGCTTTAGGTACAGTTTCATATCAGTGGCAACTCAGCAGACTGTGATAATGAGGTTTAAATAAAAAAGGGAAACCATTAAAGCGTAAAGTATGCATCAGTCCGTTACTGACATCAAGGCATGACGAGGTTTTCAAAAGTGTTTCCAAATTGCACAAAAGTGAAATCTTTTTATTGCGATGCCAACCTGATAGATCTGTCACAATAACAAATTTTGCTGAACAATAAATTGCCCCAGAAGTTATTGCAATAAACAATAATGTTGTTGTTTTGAGACTATTTTCAAGTAATATAATGCAAAGGTTATGATAATACAAGAACGCATTCTCAAAGGTCAATAAACTGTAATGAACATTTAACACTAGAACTGGAAGACATTTTAAATATCCAAAATAAATAAAACAACAAATAAAATTAATTATGAAGTCTCTATAAACAAAACTATCCTTCAAAAAAAGGTTTAGTTGAGACCCAAACACCAGACTGAAGATTTTTATGATCCAGTTTATGGTAGAAAGATAGAAAGAAAATGATAAATCATGCAAATGTAAATTATTGAGTTTGTTTTAATTTATCATGCAATTAATTGATTTATTGCAACAAGCTTACAATCTGTTTCTCCATACACTGCAGATCAGCTGGCTGAAAGAAGGCTACTATACTTTTCCTTTGCTTACAGGAAAGGTTAATTTGGTTGTTTGGAAAAAATGATGGTGTGGAAACTAAAGTAATTGGCTGCACTGACTGCCAACATTATCCAAGCAGATAGCCCAACTAATTAACCCTTTATTACTACCTTGGTTTACTGATGTTAACATAAAAAGAGCATATATTCTGCATAAGAATGCACTTAAACTATTGAATGTTGTGAGTTCTTTTTAGCTTAAATTATGTACCAAGATAACAATAAATGTCATGTATTTATCTTTATCTTTCTATAAGAAAGATAAACAATGTTTATTATTATTTTTCCAGAAGTAGGACTTGGTATGTCATTAAAAGTGACTTGCTGATGCCTCCAAAAATAAACACCTTTTATTTGCTGTTGACAGTTATAGAGCTAATATTTTCAAATGCAAATTTAACACACAAAAATTAGCATTCATTTATTTTTATTTTTATCAATACCTACAAGCAAAACAGACAAAGTTAATAGCTAAACTATGTTAAATTTACTTGAAGATGAGAATAAATCTTCAAACCACCCAAATTTTCTAGAATCTCTTTTCTCAAATATTAGCCCAGGTCAAGTTCATATTCCATCCAAAACGGAAAAATAATTTATAGATTCATTTCAAGGTTTAAAAAGGTTTCATTTCAAAATGAATCTAAGCAGAATGTTTTTTTATTTTAATTACTCGTTTTTAATTATGTAAATATCTTATTCTACAGTAACGAACATAACATTTGGACTCAAAGTAGGATTATTACATGTCAATTAACTTAAGGTTCCCCCCTACTCTAGTAGAAATACAAAACGTTCATTTAAATATCGTGATATTTTTTACTCTGTATTGACTCTAAAACAGATGCCCATTGTATTCAAATTTGAATGCAAACTAATGAAAATGTACCAGTTATCACATTCAGGTACACCTGTGTTACTCAAGAAAGCGATATGCCGTGGCTGTGTTTGCTTACGTTGAAGGAAGTGAACTTCCACGTTGTATTAGTCTACTCATCCGACTGCTTTCATACCTACACCAGGTTTTTTTTTTATATTCAGACTGATCAATGAATCCAAGACCTGCTCAACACTTCGAGACAGTATCTGACTGCAATCAAACGAATAACAGAGTAAATACCAACAGGCCTCAACGTTTCCCATGTGTTCCAGCTTAGCCTATTTACGGTTCTACTTCTGCTTTAAGGCTAAATGTAGTTTAAATTTGCTCAACTGACTAATGGAAGCCCCTTGGTGCTGTAAGAACACATTCCACCGGTGCTAAAGGAAAGCTAGTATGGAGCCGTTGTGAAAAGCTAACAGTTAGCATGAGCGGTTAGGCCGATTAAGGGTTGAATGTTCGCTGGCTAACTGAATGCTTATCTGTTCAATAGCACAGCAAGTATCGATTTATCACTCAACAGACTAAAGTTGTACACCCTGGTATGTATGCGATCATGTTTCTTGAACCGCAGCTAGCAGCTTCCCCACAGCATAAACGTCCATTATTTTTCAACGCTCCCCCCCTCTTTCTCAGTCGGCCTCATTTAAACGTCGTCTTACCGTGTGCTCATGCTCGTCCGCGTCAACAGGTAATAAAGAGCCCACTACTGCAAGGAACGCCGCCACTGCCAACTTCCACCGGGAAGAACCCATTATTTTTTGGTGAAAGTATGCAGAAAGATTGGGGTTGTTAGCAACGCTGGGCTAATATCCCACCTTCTTCCTGGTTGTATGACAGAGGCAGTTTTCAGGGATGCTCTCTGTACGCTCTCACCGAACCTACGCTGGATTGGTCGAGAGGAGTCACGTGGTGCTCGGCGTCCAATCAGCGTAGAAAGCGATGGCTCCAGCGGTGGTTGGAGGAACTCTGTCGGCGCATCTTCCGCAGGCTTCAGCCACGTCATCCCGACTGCCAAGACCAGAGCTTCACCTTTGACGACCCGACCACGCGTGGACGGTGCGGGGTTTTATCATAAAATAACACTTTTAAATTGTTCTCAATGGCCTAAAGCTGGCACCCTGTTTGCTATTCTTAAATTGGCATATTTATGGAGTATACCTAAAAGTACGGAAGAGGATTAGGGCCATTGAAAATAATTTTATTCTGACTTTAATCACAGAATGTTGGTATTAAAGTCAGAATATTGAGGAAGAAAGTAATCATTCTGAGATTAAGGTTAAAAACCTGAGATTAAAGTCTGAATCTTGAGATTAAAGTCAGAATTCTAACTTTAATTTCAAAATTAAATTAATCTAAAAAATAATCTCAAAATTATTTTTTTTTTTTCTCAGAATAGAACTAATTATGAGAATTTTCATTTATCTGTTTGAAACATCTGTTCAGGAATTGGCTGGGGTTTGTTGGAAATATTAATTATGCTGGTTTTAATTATGTTTAATCTTAGCTAGTGTTGAAATATTAGATTGATTTTTGGTTGTTTTGAGTAGGCCTCAATTTAGACTCATGGTTTAATAATATAACTAATGTAGAGCTTTAGTAGAACACAGACAGGTAGGTAAGCTATACTGCTATTGTCATGTTCACAAACACTGGGTTTGTGTCAACATTAAATACATTGGATAACATTATTTAAGTGACAGAACTGAAGTGGAAGCTTAGGAGTTATAGCATTGGAATAATTTATATACACCAGGGCCGTGCAGAGACCTTTGGAGGGGCAGGGGCTCAAAGTTAAAAAGGGGTACATTAAAAAAAATACCTTAAAACAATTAATATTAACAATGATACTTTGTTTAACTGCAAAAGAGGAAATTTTATATCATTTTTATGTTAAATTTGTGGTAAACAGAAGCTACCATTAATTAGACACGTTTTAAAATATTTTCTTAAAATTTCTCTCTCATTTCAGATTGTTTTTAATTATTGAACTTTTTATTTCCTTTGCATCTTTATTAAAAATTAGTTGTTTTTCTTTTTAATTATTAGGATTTCATTATTTGATTGTTGTATTATGCGACTTCTTTTTCATTATTTTTGAGTATAGCTCTTTGGTCTTGGAGTTAGAGTTCACTAGAACTAAATCAGGAACAGTAACTCCAGAGCTGCAGAGTTTAGATGCTGCATGTTTGTTTCTGATGTAAAATAAAGACAAAAACTGAATAAATAAATTACTGCTAGCGTTTCTCTTCATGCGATTTAAAACTCGTGTCACGTTTTTAGACTCAGTTCAGGGAAAATATCAACTGAACAAACTAAACCATGAATGTAAAGACGATCAGACAGGAAATGTTTCTTTTTCATTCATTTATTTTTCATTTCTGAGGCAGAGAAAGTTCCATTAGGGAGGTCAAGGTCAGGTGAGAAAAAAAACAAACTATTAATTTATCCTAATTCTTCAAACTACAAACTGATGAAGATACAACTATAAAATTACATCTGAGAGGAAATCTGATGAGAATTTTATTTCATGATAGTTTATATTTAAGCCCAGTTGTTAGTTTTATCCAATCTATGTATTGACACACATTCATAAATGCAAAGCATGTTCCACATTCAGCAATCACACTATAAATCATGCCATTGAACACCACTGCTGAATCGCTCTGTAGAAAAATTTATATCAATATATTTATTTATGTTGTAAAACAGAAAGGTTCTAATCACTGCAGAGAGATATTGATGAAACAAACTTACATGACGTACGTTCTTGTCTGGTGCTTCAGTAAGGAATGCACTGCCACATGTCGGGTCCAAGTGGGTATCCTAAACAACATTCATGTTGACACCCTGAAGATGTGTTGGAATAGGAGCTTAGGGTACTGTAGACAAACATGAGAATCATAAACCTGTTCTTCACTCGACCTTGTCTGTAGAGATGGAAACAAAGATTTTACTGTCATAACTTCAATATTTCTCTCACGTTGCTCATAACTGGGGTTGGTTGTCGTCGCTGCCTCTCCTGCCAGCTGAACTGCACAGTCTCTAAAACACAAGAATAAAATGTAAAAATACAAGATAATAATGTAGAAAATGAATTGTGATGGAGAACAATGAAAGAACAAAAAATAAATCCATGGAGTGTCACAGGAGTATCCACCTCCAGTCCTCAGTGACGGTGTCCTACGTCCTTTACGTGTGTCACTGGTCCAACATATCTGAGCTAAATGGGTTCCGTTTCTGCTGGTGGCCTGATTACCTGACTCAGGTGTGCTGAAGCAGAGGCAGCAGGACTGGAGACAGAAAACCTGAAGTCATGTTTTTCAGAGACAGACTTACATTTTAAGACGATTATTACAACTTGGTAGCCGAGAAGGTGGGACGTCTGTTATTGGCCTCCGAAGCTTCAGCATGATGTCATGCTCCTGGCCCTGGTCCGTATAAATCACAGGATTGTATCAGATTACCTGGTTCTACTGTTTAGCTCTCCATGGATGAACTTTAAACATTGCTACATTAATCCTGCAGAAAGGTAAGATTATCATGAACACACAGAGAACAAGATCATCTGCAGATAAAACTGCCATCATGTTTCCTTCCTGCAGTCAGGACCCACTCAGGGTGGATCAGAGATCCTCCACACAGGGACGTTGGAATTGCTCCCCTTAATCCGAACATGAAAAAGACGCTTCCTGTCATCACAGTTTATATGCAAAGAAGTTTCAGTCTGAAACAGAATCAGAGGGAAGTTTGAGAGTCACAGAAAGGAGCATCCTGCCTGGAACCAGTGGAAGTGTCTCCAGTGTGTCCAGCGTGTCCAACTCACCCAGCAGAACCTTCAGCAGAACCGTTGCTGTTCCAGCTTCCTGTGAATGTCTGCAGTCCTGGAGCAGCTTTTAAACTCTGTTCACAACTTCCTGCTGGAAAGAAAGCCACCAATCACAGGACAGACACCGATCTGTCCAATCACAGGACAGACACCAATCTGTCCAATCACAGGACGGACACTGATCTGTCCAATCACAGGACAGACACTGATCTGTCCAATCACAGGGCGGCCACTGATCTGTCCAATCACAGGGCGGCCACTGATCTGTCCAATCACAGGGCGGCCACTGATCTGCATTGTCATCTGCACACGGAGGAACTTTAACAACTCATCAATATAAAGAAACTTGAAAAAAGTTCTTGTTCCTTTGACAGATTATTTTACTAATAAAACATTTCCCCCCCTTATAACTTAAATAATCAGCCAATGAAATAAGAAATTTTTCATCAATATTGACTTAAAACAAGCAGCTCCTATATTTTGCTCCCTGATTAATCACAACACAATCTGGTGCAGGCCCAATGCTGTGTCCAGGTGTAATTTAAGCAGCACTGGAGTCAGTGTCAGTATCATCAGTGGTCATTCATATCCAGTTTGGTGCAAATCTGATGACATGCGATTTAGAGCCAACCGTATGCAAACCTGCAACAGACTGGCGACCTGTCCAGGGTGACCCCGCCTCTCGCCTGGAACGTTAGCTGGAGGCACCAGCAACCCTCGACCCCAGTAGGGACAACGGTGTACAGAAAATGGATGGATGGATGGATGGATGGATGGATGGAAACGGTGAGGAATTGACATTTTCCCTCTGGCTCCACCCACATACTCTTAGGTCTTAGCATCATGTTGTTTTGTCGTCATCAGACATGGGTTTAAATCTGTATCAATCAAAATTTAAAAGAAGACATCCAGATTGTTTTACAAAGATCTTCCTTTAAATTCCATGGTTACTATACAGCAAACTCAAATGTTTTAGGCATAAAGATCCAAAACAGCTATTAGTATTGCAAAGAAATGCAAATTTTTTTGGTTGCGATAGCTTGGAGCTTCCAATAATTTAACAATTAGCAATAAAATCCCACTAAATGGATTTTTCAGGTTCTCTCATATGAAGCAAACACCCGACAGTCAGAGAGGCCAATGTTTATTCACTTGCTCAGCTGCGTTTTGACCTGGAGACTGATTGTGTGTAGGTCGTGTCCTGTGACTGCCTGCTGCTACGCATGGAGGTCGGTTTTATCCAGGAGTTTAGATCCTCATATCGAACATCACTTCTTCTGACTCGCATTTTGAGACCGTTGTCCTTAGTGGTGTGAGTATGTGGGAAATTAGAAGGGAAAACAAAAATATAAAATACTCATGGATACTAACTGGTGACTTAAAGAGCATATTGATGAATTATTTGTTCATGAATATTGTCTATAATGATAACTGCATAGTACCACACCGTTTTGGGGCCTTTCTGGAGATAGATGTACGACCTTAAGAAACCTGGAAGAAATTTTAGAGTGGTCAGAATAATTGTTGCAGTTTATGATAGGAGACAAGAACCAGCTCCTGCATTAGGAGTGAGAGGCTCAGTGGGCTACAGACGTTTTTGGAGCCCAAACTACAAAAATATTTTTACACTTAAAAAGTTCAAGTACTACATCTAGAAAGTATTTACAGCAATCCATTCTTTTCTTTCTCTGCAAATGGTATTACATGAATCTCTTACCTCAAAATTCTACACACACGTTTGCCATTGTGACAATGCCGAAGAAAATACTAATTAATCACATTTAAAGTATTCACAGCCTTTGCTTAATAGCACGACCACCAGATGGCGCTCATTGGTCGCCATCTCCAAAAGCAGGTAAAACAGGATTTATGCACAAATGTTTCTGATTTTAGGACAATCTAAACAGGGCAGGATGTTTACAGAAGCAACAGTTGGAAATAATTTGTTGTTTTATATTATCTATATATTCTTACAGCCTTGAGGAAGCAGACAGGACCCAGCCTTTACTTTCTCTGCTTCCAAGTAAGAAGTCAGTTTTCTTCTTTCTTCCAATAAAGGATTGAGCTAGTTTTTTATTCATTCTTGTGATTACAAAATGGAGAACGATACATTTTGATGACACCCAGGGTAAACAAAAAGGCTCTGTGACATGCGTCAGTATTCCTACAATATAAATCAGCATTTTAATTTGACCAGGAAAAAAAATCCAACCGACACAGTTTTGGACACATATGGCTGAATTGTGCGAAAATGCCAGCTATGCCTGACATCTTACTATAAAACTGGTGGGGAGCAAATGCTGATTCAGTCCCACTTTGCTGCAGTTATTTTCAAGGTGTGAATTTTTTTAATCTATTCCTGGGTCCTCTCAATAGTTTTTATTGGATTTTGAAATGTTGATTAAGGGGGGGAAATAGATGAGGGGTGGGCAAGGTGGGTTTTTTGTTTGTTTTAGTATAAAACAAACAATAATGTTAATAATGTTGTATTTGTGTGCAGAGTTTTTAGGAAAGAGATTAATTGCAGTGCTGGGAATAGTTTATGGATACACAAACTCACATTCTCATACTCACCACATGAGGATTTTGATGAAGGAGCCAACCAAAATAACGAATAATGCTGACACAAGTGAAGTCTTAACTGGAGTACTCACGATTACTGGGAATATAAGATGTGGAAAAAAAGACATGCAATATATTTTTAGAGTTCATATATTTCATAGCCATCACTTTATAGCCACAAACTTATAAAACAAAGTAGAGCATGACTAAAAAAATTGAGGGAACAGAAAATTCTTCAGTGAAATAGCAGAGTACCTCTTCTTTCATAAGGTCCCTCATCCTGAATGTTCCCTGAGAGGAAAAACAAACAAAGGCTGAATCAATCAGACTGTTTATATCTGCTTTTACTGCAGTATTCAGGCACACTAACCACCTTCCATGTTTCTCCGATTACCTTTTCGTTGACCAGCCAGATGAACCTCTGGAGATGTCTGATTACCAAGATCGTTGGTGGCCACACAGTAATAAATCCCCTCCTTGGTGATATTGAGTCCATATATGTCTCCGTCGGCTACTTCCATGGTTCCATTTGTGCTGTTCCTGAACCAAGTGAAGAAGCTGACGGGAGGATTGGCTGTGCTGGAACACGTCAGGTTCGCCCAACCATCTTCTGACAAACTGATGGAAGCTGAAGTGTTTTTGGGAGCATCTGTGGAAAATGTGACACACGTTCAGTTTACTGATGAGAACCAGCTGATGTTCTGACCGGGTCACTTACAGGAAACACTGAGGGTCACGTCTGCCTTTGCGACCTTGTATTTTCCTCCATCCACAGGATATCTGACGAAGCAGGTGATGTTGAATCCATCATGTGTGTCTGACAGTGTGATGTTCTTCTGGATTTTATCTGTAAACGTTCTGTCCATGTTCTTCTCCGTCAGTCTGCGGTGGTCTGGTTCCAGGTTCCAGGTGAGTTCAGGAGGCGATTGTGGACAGGGAGTGAGAGCTGAGCACGTTATAATGACAGAGTTCATCTCCTTCAAGTCACCTGAGATTTCAATCCTGGGTCTCCAAGCAGAATCTGTGCTTTCACATCACACACACACATTTCACAAAGTGAGATACAGCAGATTTACTCGACATGTGGAGCATAAAAAGATGGAGGATGATGAAAAATGAAGAACACATTTAAAAATTAAGTGGGTAAAATGTTCAGTTTGTGTTGACAAATTGCTGCCTTTAACTCTGGACTCTGATCCTGTTAATGATCCTACAGCAGATGTTTAACTTTTCATTATATATGTTGAGCATATAACTGCACAATTTAACATTTTGAAAATAAATGTGCTTAATGGAAACACAACAATTTAAAATAAATAAACTCTCATTTTTCGATAAAAAGCTTTTGGGCTAAGATGAGGTGGATTGTTTGACCATATCAAAATTTGTTTAGTTCATACAATGGTGTATAAGGGCTGTTATAGGCAGAAAGAAAAGAAGTAAATTTCAGTCAAAAAACTCAGAACTTTTTAAATTAATCTCAAACATCTTCCTGAAGAAACGTGTACATTTCTGAGTTTCAAAAGGCGACTCCTTTTTTTAAATTACGAAACTCAGAAAATTTTAAAAAGTCAAAGAGTTTTAATTTTCAAAAATCAAAAGAAATGTCCAAGTTTGATATTAATCTGAAAATGTTTTGTGGTGGAAATGTATTTCCTTCTACAATAGCTCTAATACGAAGTTGTAATTTCACAAAACTGCAGTGGAAGCAGTTTTTTCGCACCACATGATCAACATTGTTGCCGCGGCACCAGCCGCAGAAGATGATGGCGCGGCAAGATTTTTAATGAAATATCGCGCGAACAAACTTATTCACGTTTGATTTAAATGCAATTTCTTGTTCAATAAAAACACTGCAGAATATTGACCAAATTTTGCGCATATTTGTAATGGAAACTCCTTAAGACTTAGTAATGGAGTTCGTTGGTTTACACCAAAAATGCTTCATAATTAAACAAAATGGTCTCACCTCTAATGTTTACGTTCACCGGCTTACAAAGAGCGCTTATTTTGAACGGGCCGTTCTCAATCCTGAAGTAGTATTTGTCCTCTTGCTCTGAGTTTATCTTAGAAAACACAGTGGTGCAGTTCTTCTCCCGCAGGTTTCCAGTAATGTTCATGTCATATCTGTTTTTCAGCTGACTGCTGTTGTAAACCACGTTTTTCGGACTGTTGAGAATCGGGGCTCCAGGTTTTAACCAAACTCCAAATGTTTTTCTCCGAGGATTGAACTTGTGCTGTGGTTTCACTGTAAAGCTACAAGGGATTTGCAAACAGGCTCCACTCAGTGCCTCGATCTCTCTCGGTGCAGTAAAGATGAAGCCTTTGTCCTCTTCACATCCAGTCGGTCTTCCTGTAAAAGCGACGTAAATATGAGGACAACGTGGAGCAAAATGCGCCTGAAGAAAAACTTCCCGATCCACAAACTCCATCAGAGCTGAAGACTCTTTAAAGAAGAACAGGATCCATTACTTGAGGCTTTAGTTCAATGTGAAAAAACAAACAGCTCACCTGAAAGAAAGGAGACACTCAGTAACAAGTTGACTGTCAGCACTGTCAGCATGTCGTCAGACAGGGCGGCCATCACACATCTACGACCCTCCATCAGCCCAGAGACGAGATGAAGGAAAAGTTAGAGTTCAGCTTAAATAACGGCCGATAATTAATTAAAATGTCAAATTACATCAGCGAGATACAGCAGAGTCCTCGGGCCAAAAACAGGAGTAAATTTCCACCACAACTGAGATTAATCTCAGAAAATTTTTAGGAAAATTTTGGAAATTTCTGAGTTTCAAAAGTCAAAAACATTTGACTTTTGGAAATTTTGTTTGAAAAGATTTCAACTTTTTAAACCATTATTTTCACCAGAAAGTTTTTGAGATCAATCTACAAATTTGAGGTTTTTTGGTAAAATTTCTTTGACATTTCAAACCCAGAAATGATTATTAATTACTTATTTTTATTTTTTTTAAAAAACATTGTTTTAGATTTTTTTTTGGAAGAAAATTCACTTTTTTCTTGTACCTACAACGGCGCTAATAGACCATCATAGATAAATGTCACATTTAAATTTCCTAACTAAAACATATTGAAAAATAAAAATAAAAACATAAAAGTTCTGGCATTAAACAATAAATTAACAAACTTAGTAGAATAATAATTAGTCTTACAAGGCTATGATCTTCATCTGCTCATCAGCAAACCAAACTCACAACTACTCTTGTTAAAGAGCTTCACTTCCTGCCTGGTTTGTTCAAATCAGGAAGTCATTGTTCTGTCGGACCTTGAGTTTGTGTCTCCCATCCAGCAGACTGACTTCACAACATTACGGCTCACAGTATTTATTCTGACAAGAGAAAATTAAAATGGGTGGTTAGCATCAGTTCAGCAGCTTCTGCCCCGGAGTTACAAACAGAAACACAACTGAATGTGATCGTAATGTATTTGACATAAATGTAAATCATTAATCCACATAACTAATCTTATCTTTAACATAAACATGAATTACTATATATCTTTTTTTGTACAGGAAATATAATCACACATATTACACACATCTAACAGTCAAAGACCATCACACAAATTGTAACTTAAACATTATTTGCATCAAAAATTAAAACATACCTAACAAGAGAAAAAGTGAAATTGGTGGTTAAGGTCAGTCCAGCAGCTTCTGCCCCTACACAATAAATAGAAATACAATCAATAACCCCAGACAGTTCCTACTGCAGGTCAATGGTTAAATGAACAGTTAGCAGGTAGCGGGCGTAAAATTAAACACAACTTAAAATCCACAACATTAATTATGGAAACAGTTAAAAACTGTTCCATAATTAACAGTTTCCAAACTGTTAATTATGGCAAACATGGCAAAACTAAAAATGAAGCCCTGTATCTAATTAAATCTGTCTAAAATATATGTTAAAATGTAATATTTGTAAGGAAAACACAGAGCTGGTCCTAATACATACCACAGCTGGAGATGGCAACAGAAAAGGGGGACGAGCTGACAGTTGGTGGTTGCTAATGGTAACCAGCAATCTTGAGCAAAACATAACATAACCATAAATGTCAGGAGAAAATAGCTTTTTAACGAACCAAAATTAATTTGAACCAATTTGGACAAACTCCACTTCTATAATAATGTTGAAATAAAACCCAGTTACACTTTCCACTCCTGGACTTGTCAAAATTGCAAAATAAACAGGATGCAATAATAAAACATATAGAACATTTATACAGCTTCTTCTTCTTCTTCTTCTTCTTTTACAATGTGCAGTTTCATTTCCAGCTGTTGCAAAAGATGACAAGTGTATGACATGTCATCTATTAAGGATTTAAAAAAGGAAGTAAATATCCGCCAAATAATTATGAACATTTTTACATTAGCCTCCTAAATTATCTAGAAAAAAAAGGAAATTTATGAGTTTCAAAAAGCAAATATTTTCAACTTTTTGGGTTTCAAATGTCGAAAATGGTGCAGCTCAAGTCCCAGAATGTCACCGTATGTTTTTTAACTGTCTCATTTTTGCATCTTAAAATAATTGTTGCTGGGCCTCAGTAGATATGAGCTTTTCACAGTATTAAAGTTCATTTTATACATTTTAAAACATCAGAATTTAGGAAACAAATTTGACCACAGGTCTTTTTTTTTTTTACATCAGCAATGATTATTATCTCTGTGTTTGGAGCTTTTAATTAGAAATGAACATGGATCTATTGCAAAAACAACACACAGTTAAAGAAACTCCAAACACACATGAAATAAAATCTTAAAACAAGAAAAATATAACCGGGGGAATATATGAGAGGCCCCATGGGCCAAAATTAACAAACTCTCTTACACGTACTATCAAACTGTCTCACAGTCAAACTCTCTTACACTCACAGTCAAACTCTCTTACACTCACAGTCAAACTCTCTTACACTCACAGTCAAACTCTTACACATACTGTCAAACTCTCTTACATGTACTATCAAACTCTCTCACATTTGCTATCAAACTCTCTTACATTCACAGTCAAACTCCAACATTCACAGTCAAACTTACATTCACAGTCAAACTCTCTTACATTCACAGTCAAACTCTCTTACATGTACTATTAAACTCTCTTACACGTACGATCAAACTCTCTTAAACTCTCTTGCATTCACAGTCAAACTCTCTTACATGTACTATTAAACTCTCTTACACATACTATCAAACTCTCTTACACATACTATTAAACTCTCTTACACGTACTATCAAACTCTCTCACATTCGCTATCAAACTCTCTTACATTCACAGTCAAAGTCTCTTACACGTACTATCAAACTCTCTCACATTTGCTATCAAACTCTCTTACATTCACAGTCAAACTCCAACATTCACAGTCAAACTCTCTTACATTCACAGTCAAACTCTCTTACATGTACTATTAAACTCTCTTACACGTACGATCAAACTCTCTCACACTCACTATCAAACTCTCTTACATTCACAGTCAAACTCTCTTACATTTACTATCAAACTCTCTCACATTCGCTATCAAACTCTCTTACATTCACAGTCAAAGTCTCTTACACGTACTATCAAACTCTCTC